TCATCCCCACCACAACACTGCCACATCTCCGTCACAAGAAATCCCCCCCGCCCTTCACAAACATGCCACTAGAAAAAGGAAGATACAGCGGTAGAGAGAGAGTAGCCATAAAGACATACCTGTGAGGCAGTGAAACCGCTGCTTGGCCACAAATCTTGAAATGAGAACAATATAGAGCACTAGGGTTTTATTTGAAGTCTATGCCAAAACGACGGAGTTTTGGACTGCATAAAAAATATCTCTAGTTTATACTAAAACACGGGAAAAAATAATATTTATTTCAGCTGAAGTATTGTGTTTTAAACCCACGTCATTTTATTTTGATATTTACAGAGTTTTTTAAAAAAATGCCAAGAATTGTATCATAAATTATGAAGTTTGTTGAAAAATGCCAAGAATAATTTTGTTTTTGTAGAGTTTTGCGGAAACGTTGGAAAAAAAATGTCGAGAAAAGTCTTTTTTGTTGTAGTGAGTTTGTTGAACCATAAAATTATACTTTGGGCTTTGTTTGTTTTCCAAGAAACATTAGAAGGAAAGAGGGAAAAAAAAATCAGTTTATTGAACCCAAAAAAAAAAAAAAATTCTTTTGCCCAACCAAAAAAGAAAAGAAAGAAACAGAAAAGCACATATACATTTTACATAAAAAATACAATGGGTAATGTACAAAAATAAAACCTTTTGCGACGGACTAACAAAGGGCGTCGCAAAAATAAAACCTTTTGCGACGGACTAACAAGCAGCGTTGCAAAAAAATACAAAAATCGCAAGACGAAAAAAGAAATTTACGACAGGTAATGTACCGTCGCGTATAATATTACTTTTTGCCACGGTTTTGGATTTTCTGTCTCTAATAATGGTATTTATTCGGTCCCTTTTTTGCAATAGTCAATTGGCGTCGCAAAAAAATCCCTTTTGCGACGGTATTTTTTACCGTCGCAAAAACTTGCTTTTTGCGACAATTTTCAAACCATCACAAAAAGTTCCCTGTTAAAAGCCCCCTTTTCTAGTAGTGAAATTTTTTTTTTGTGTTACTTTAGAGTGTTACACTAAAATATTTTTTTGGAGTGTTACGTTTGGAAAAACTATAGTAAGGAGTTTTTTTTTTATATGTTACATTAGTGTTACGTTTAGATGTTAATTAATATCAATGTTATAATGTTAATGTTACAATCGGGACGAACACCACAAAAAGGAACGAACACTATACCAATAACACCACAAAAGAGGTAATATCATCCACCTACAAATCACTCTACTAAATCCTTACAAAAAAAAAAAATAGAAATATAAAAACTTACCTTACCCATGCACACTCAACATTAGGAAAAAAATTCAAACAAAATCAAACACAAGGGGCAAACAAGTAAACTTTCAAACCCCAATCAAGGAAATACAACATATCCAAAATAAAAAAGGACTAATGGGTTTGAAAAAAACTTTTAAGACTAAATGAAATAACTTTTCTCTAAATGAGATTTATGAGTAATTTTTCTTAAATTTTATAAATATTAATAATTAAATTTAAGAACAAATAATCAATTTATAATAATTTTGTAGAAATGCATAGTAATTTCCCCTTCTAAAAAAGCCATTTATGCTCTGGTAAATTTTTCTATAATCTCTCTCTTTCCGATTGCATACGAATTTTCCTTACATTTGTTAGGATGAAAATATTTTTTAACATTTGGTATGACAAAAAATAAAAATCAATAAAAAAATATATTTCATGATCAACAAAAAAACAAACATTTATTTGAGTAGAAAATATTTTTCACTTTTAAAAAGAAAAATGTTTTTTATACTAAATTCTTACTAATGTCACCATAATACAATTGCTATTCTTATCTCCACCACACCACCATTATTACAGCCATTGCCATCGCTACCCCACCATCATGCCACCACCTTCGTCTCATCACCTCCATTACCAAACATAAAAAATATTTTTTTGGAAAATCATTTTTTTTTTTAAATTTCATAAAACATATGTTTTATTAAAAAATATTTTTTTATCCAAAGAAGCCGAGTGTTAGAGAGAAATTTGTAAGGGACAAATAGAAATGTGAAAGGAAAAATGAAACTTCATATCATACAATTTTGCGCCACATTTTTGTACAATTTTAAAAACCAAACACAGTTTAAATACAAAATAATTCTTTTTTGAGTGTATAGAATTCGATAATAAAATTGAATACGATATTCTCACATGGTGTGAGCCTCACTAATGTATTAGCCCCACTTCATATAAAATAATTGTGGCTGGTTCTATAATCTAATTTGGAAAAATTACAACAACAAAAAAAATAAAAATCCTTAGGGTTTCGTGTGTTTTTCAATTTAAATTTAAAACTTCAATTTCGACAAATTAGATTCTAGAGTTTCATCCGTGTTTCAATGTGAACCTTTTATCCATATCTGTTTGATTGAACTAACGGAATCTGGGCAAAATTTTTATATTCAAACACACATGTTGAAGCATTTGTATTTCTCTCATTGTAACTCCATTTCGCCTCATTTTTGCATTGTTGGATTCACCTCTTGACCTAATTTTCATTTCACCTCTCATCGCCTTATTCTACATCTTTTTGCATGCCGTCAAAGCTCCAAAAGTTGGCCAAATATATATATATATATATATATATTGTTCTCTATCTTCTATCTCTATGTTTCTTCCTTCCTCATTCATTTCCAAAATTATTCTCTTTTTTCTTCATGAACCTTCCACCGAACTAGTGGTAACCACCGAACCTTTGATGATGGCGGTGCCGTCAAGTATGAAGGTATATGACTTACAAGAAGGGAAAGAAACACAGAAGTGGGAAAAAGACCATAAAATAAGAGGAAAAAGAAAGAATAATTATGGAATGAAGAAGCATGGAGATAGGAGATAGGAGATAGATGAGGAAAAAACAATCTTATTTTTGGCCAACTTTTAGAGTCCCGATAGCATAAAAAAAAAAAAGGCGAAACAAGACATATGAGAGATGAAATGAAAATTAGATCATGAGATGAATCCAACGATACGAAAATGAAATTAAACGGAATTACGATGAGAGAGATATAAAGACTTGAATATGTAAATTTGAAAATTTTGCCCAATGAGAGAGAAATATTATTTTTAGCCAACTTTTGAAACTCCGACGGCATGGAAAAAAAGGCAAAACAAGTCATATGAGAGATGGAAATGAAAACAAAGGGTTCGTTTGAAAAGTGGGTTGGCTTTTGACTTTTTGACTTTTTTAACTTGGGACTTAAAAACATAGTTTGGAAAGGGTTTTAGGCTTTAAGGCTTTTTAGTCTTTTTGATTTTTTTGTGAAAGAAATAATATAATGATTATGTGATTGATGTGATATTTTGTCTTATTGGACTAAAGAGTCTATTTTATTTTTTGTGGCTAAAATAGCCAAAAAAAGCCCCAACTTTCGCTTCCCAAACGAAGCCTAAGTATGAGATGAATCTAATGATGAAAAAATGAAACAAAACGAAATTACAACGATAGAGATATAAATACTTAAACATGTGTGTTTGAATCTGAAAATTTTATCCAAATTCTATTAGTTTAATCAAACAGATTTGAATAGAAGATTCACATTAAAATATGGATGAAATTTCAAATTTAATTTGTCAAAATTAAAACCATGAAATTTAAATTAAAAAACATGCAAAATTCTGAATTTATATATATATATATATATTTAATGATTTGTTCATTCAATTTTATACATGTAAGAAATTTTAATATATATTGTATGGGATTGACTTTCCTTCACTTTGGTTAGTAATACTACATGTCGCTGATAACATGACATCCTGGCATAAGATCTGTTTTTTACTCTTATGTTGGGATAGATTTAGGACAAAAAAATAGTGAAACAAAGAATCCTTAACCAATTTCGACATAAAATGAGATTTCAAAGAACAAAATGCAAAAAATTAACCAACATTGAATCAATATCTATTTTACCACATGCATAAAAATCATCCTAACACAGAACTACACCAAAATAACTAAAGCACAATTAAATAATTTATTTTTTAAAATTAAATAAATAAAATATCAATAAAATGTGTTATTTTTTTAATTAAAATTTTAAATAAATTTGTTTTTAAAAATAATAATAATTAACAATGAACATTTAAATAAATCTCCTCT